ACTACAAATACCACAGTAAAACTACGGTTACGGTGGGAGAAGTATGGTAAATATGTTGTAGTTATTGTGCATAGGCTACACATGACATGGTCGAGCAACAGTTAGGCTACTATGGTAAAAATATGTTAAATGTGTGGACTTTTACATGATCACGATTATCACATGATACCGGGTTGGTTGATTTATTTTGCTGTCATCAGCCATGTCTAAAAGCCGAAGACCCATGTCACAACATGATTAAAAATGGTTTTATTTATTTATTTATTTATTTCAAACTGCAACAGGTCTATATACAGTAGATGTTAGCTTAGGCTAATGACAATGGTAGGCTAGCAGCTGTGCTAACTGAGCAGCCCACTGTTCCATAATTTGAACGCATGCGCTGCCATTTTAACACATGACCCCATGTAACCTGATGCAGAAAGACTGAAATAATTAAAATAATACCGTTAACCACATGATCTCATTACAAAAAAATATTGTTGCCCTTACCTGTTTGAAGGTGTACACGCATCAGGTGAACTGGACGAACTGAGCCTCGCTGGTGACGTCACTGTCGCTGAAGATGACACGTGGTATTTGGACGCATCTGCTCTCCACTGAAGTTAATGTGAAGGATTGGCGTATCATATGCACGCAAAATTGGCATTTGGCGTATGCATTACACGCAATTAGAAAGTGTAAAGTCGTCTTATTTATACGCAGACTGATGAGAACGGGTTGCTTGTTATTATGTGTGTATAATGGGTGTGTTCTTAGGCCAAACATTTACCATGCTGTGGTGTGTCATGTACAGGGGAGCAGTTTGCTCTGTTGTGTAGAACCTATCATCCATCACAACAGATGCTTGGCTCCTCTCATCGGCTTTGTGTGAAGTACGTTTGTAAATTATGTATGAGGAACTTTTGTGTAAATTGTCATACTACATAATGTATGTTTACAAATCTGCATGAAAGCTCACCTTAGATGGGAACTCATTACACTAATTGATGCAGAGAGGTAACAAAGGGCTCTTTTGTACATAAAGTCACTTTCTGATCCCTATCAATAATGAAAGATAATTTAGAATAGAATGGATAGGCCATCTGCTACACGTACCTCTCAACTCTTCAGCTGAACTGACAAACACAACATTTTCCCTCAAAGATCCTTGTGTATAGACACATCATAAATGTATGTCATGAGGGAAAATTTACACACACACACACACAATACTGAATTGCTACAAATTGATAAGCCCTACTATGGTGAAGGTCAGGCTCATGAATAATAATGAGTTTATGTGACTGGACACTCCAACAAAGTTACAAAGCAACATCAGTGTCAATTAATATGCATGAGGTAAACCTTCACTGTTGTGTGAGTGAACCGTAGTTCAGTGAACACCAGGATACGTCACCGTCACCATAGTGATGCACGCCTCACACTATAACTCTAAAGGCATCAGTAATGCATGTCAGTGTGACCTGAAATGTTTTTAATCAACTTAGTATTACTTTTGAACAACTGCAAGCAAAAATTTTTTTAAACGGAATACAAACTGAATGAATGTGCTGAGGTACGTGATGTAAGAAGTGTGTGTGTGTGTGTGTTTATGTGTGTTATTGACAACCCATTGTCATAATGTCTCAACATATATTTAGATGCTAGAAATATGCTACTTTGATCTCTATTGTTCTCTGTTTCATTTATTTTGAAATTCTGTTGATTACCCATATAACAGTGCAGAACATCTAACTGTATAGCACTGTAGACAGTACACATTCTCCATGCAACAAATAAAATATTACAGTGTTTTTGGACATCTACTACGGTAGTACACTGTAAACTAAACTAATTTGTTGACTTTAAAAAATGTGCTAATTTTACTCTTAATTCACTTAAGTCACAATAAATGAGTCTCATGTACCCAAAAACGTTTGAGTATTCTTTCCTTAGTCTCCTTGTTTTGAATACTCCTTACTTATTCTCAGCCACAAATACTATACTGACTCCCAGAGTCCACTGGGGCATGGATAAATTATACAGTTTTGTTTTATTCTCTGGTTTATTTGCCGCTATTGTTGTCAGTAGCAATCTGTTTTGTAATTTTTAAAGTCTTGTCTTATTATGGAAAATATTGTGCATACTGAATGTTGATGACGTGCATGTCTACATATAAACTACTATAATACATTCAATGCATCATAATTTAAAGGGGTCATATGATGCGATTTCAATTTTTCCTTTCTCTTTGAAGTGTTACAAGCTCTTGGTGCCTAAAAAAGATCTGTAAAGTTGCAAAGACTAAAGTCTCAAATCCAAAGAGATATTCTTTATAAAAGTTAAGAGTCAACCATGCCTACCTAAAATGGCTCGTTCTAACATGCCCCCACATGTCTACGTCACGATGTGGGAAGATTTGCATAACGCCACCCAAATGTTCACGCAAAGAAAGAAGGCATAACTTTTATTCTCGCTGTAGTATTGTTGCTGCCGCCATGTCATGAAGATGCTGTGTGTTTCGTTGTGAAACTGAGACTACTTTGTTTGGCCTTCCAAAAGAGGACAATATCCGCTTCGTCATGCCTAGAGCTGATCCGTGCTGGTCGCTGAGGAAATACATCAACTTCGCGCTGTGGATCGCCGGATCGGCTTTCACCGTGGATGAAGCGGAGTCCAGCCCGGGGTCGTCACATGTGGTTGCCGCAAGCCCACTGGCCGCTCCTTCGTCGAATCCGCATGCGGCGCCGTTCTCAAGCTCGCCGGCCGTCGCTCACTCTAGCCCGCTGTGTGTTTCGTTGTGAAAGCAAAACTACTTTGTTTGGCCTTCCAAAAGAGGACATGACTAGAAATCAGTGGTTAAGTTGTATTTACAACACTGTTCCAGAACAGTTTGTAGCGTC